ACGGCGGGCAGGGAGCCCGCATAGAGGCCCCGGAATATACCATCCTTTCGATACGTGCTCACGAAACAGTCGAACATTCCTTTGTAGGCCTCCGGGAAGGTCTGCAGCTTCACCTTGACAGTGTCCAGCGGCTGCGAGACGTACACCTGTGCGGCCCCGCCTAAGAGATCAAGGGGAGTTGATATTGGTCCCATGGTGTCGGCAGAGCTGTGTGTATACGCACCCAAAGAGCCCGCCAGGAAGTCGATGAGCCCCTCCACAAAGTTGATGTTGTTCCCGGTTCCGCCTCCATGCATGTCGAGGCGCCGTACGAGTCTTAGGAATTTGCCGAATATGAATAGGAGGCCGTCACGCACGGCTTCGAGCGTCGAGAGTGGACTGAGCTTCCGACGCTCGTTCTCGCTCTGCTGGCTCTCCTCCTCGGCCTCGGCCTCCAGCACCGCCTGCTCGTATGCCTCGAGCAGTTCATCGGGGGCCCCTATCAGCACGGAGCTGCCCACTCGGCTGGAGCCGACTCGCGGCCGTGTCAGCGTTGACGCTGGTTGCTCATCATCGTTCTTGGGGGCAGGCTTTGGCTCTCGCGGTGCTTGTCTCTTCAGGAATTTCTCTTCGGGTGTCGGGGGTAGGAGCGGTGTTGGTGGCTCCGTTGGATCTTCTCTCTTACCGATTTGCCTTGACCCCCTGCCCGCGTAAAATGTTTCGGGCTGTGGTTTCTCTTCGGGTCTTGTGCTCTTCTTGTCTGACATGACAGTGCTCTTAGTCTGCTGCTGGATGTTGCTTTCTTCTCTCTTTATTGCTGTTTACTGAAATTCGTCATCATCAAACGATCGGCTGCTCTTCCGATCGTTGTCGTTCGTGTCCGGTCTGTGGCTGTTGGTGTTGGTGTTGGTGTTGTGTGGGTCTGTTGCTTATTCTCTTTGTCTGTTATTGAACGCGCTCTGATAACTTCGAGCTTTCTGTTGTGTCTTCTTTTCCAGCGATAGTTGTTTTGTTCGCTTTTTCAGCGGTATTTGTTATGTCTGCTTCTTCAGAGGTAGCTGTTATTTTCGCGTTTCCGCCGGTAGCTGTTATATCTGCTTTTACAGCGGGGGCTGTTAAATCTGCCTTTGCAGCGGGTGTTGCTATATCTGCTTTTACAGCGGCCGTTGTTATATCTGCTTTTACAGCGGACGCTGTTATGGCGGCGTTTGCAGTGGGGACTGTTATGCCCGTTTTTACAGCGGAGGCTGTTATATCTTCGTTTACAGTGGGATCTGTTATGTCGGCTTTTACACAGGTAGCTGCTATGTCCGCGTTTCCAGTGGTGACTGCTGTGTTAGCTGTTTCTATTTCTGTTACTTCCACTGTTCCAGGCACTGTTAACTCCAACGTTTCAGGCGTCACTGTTGGTCGCTGTGTCTCAGCAAATTGTTCCAAATTCTTAGAAGTTTCCAATCGACTTATTTCAGCTGCTACTAAGTTCGAGTTTTTAAACAAATTTACAACTTGTGTCGTGGGCAAGGGGATACTACTTTCGGGCACTGGCAGTGGGGCTTGCTCTGCTTCAATACTCCCGAGCCGTAATGCGGTGGTTAGCTTAGCTTTAGCACAACCTTCCGACCAATCAATTGGATGCTTTGGATACTGGCCAACTGATGCGTTCAGGTAGCGGTTCAGTAGCGAATCCGATGCTTTTGCAACCACCGCTTCTTCTTCAGTTATGTTCTGTTCTTGTTGATCAAAATGGCTTGCAGCTAATTTCAATGACGCTAGTTGGGCGCTGCCACACGGACTTGACGGGGTACTGCTGTCGGTTACGGGTGCTAGGGGCTGCTCTTCTGGTGCCACAATACTCCGGAACCGTAGGGCGGTGGTTAGCTTAGCTTTAGCACAACCTTCCGACCAATCAATTGGATGCTTTGGATACTGGTCAACTGATGCGTTCAGGTAGCGGGCCAGTAGCGAATTCGCTGCTTTTGTAGCTTCTGCTTCTGCTTCTGCTTCTTCTTCAGTCAACTGTTCCTCGGCCTCGGCCGCAGGAGCTTGTCGATCGAATGTGCTTGCAGTCAATTTCAATGGTTGTATGGGCTCGTTACCAGACGCTGTGCTGGACTTTTTGTCATATGGAGAGGTGCACAATGGATTCAGGGTTCGCAGCAGTGGCCGCGGGGCACGAGGTCCTGGCTTGGGTGCGGCTGGTGGCCGACCAAAAATCTTTGCGATATTGGAACGTACCTTTTTAGATGCCAAACCAGTCACAATCGCCGTCACGCCCACAATGCCCACTAGGCCCACAACGCCCTCCGTTAGTGTGTCTTCGCGTGTGTGTCTTTCGTTGGGATCCCAAACTTTCTGCTTTCGATTGTACTCGTACTCGTAATCCTTACTCATTTTTGGGAACCGAAAATTTGGTTTTGAAATAATATGCGCACTTTGTATATTTGTATGTGTCTGCTACGATGCCAAAAAGGTGTCTAGAAAAACTGCCTTCTGTCAGAATAAAATTCTTATCGATTGAAATGCCTTTCAATGTACGTTTTTTGTTGTTTTTTTTTATTATTAATAATCGATAATTTGATTACGCCATATGTATATATATGTCTGTGTGTATATATATATATATATCATTTCGATCAGCGTTTTCAGTGTGTGTGTGTTTGTGTGGGTGTGTCTGTCTGTTTTTGTGGATATACAATTCTTGCATTAATATTATTATCATTGTTTTTGGGTTTTTTTCTTGTTTTTTTTGGTATGTGTTTTGTATATCGTTTCAGTTTTTTTTAATATTTTGTTGGTTTATGTTTTTTTCGGGCTTTTTGTTCTTTTGCCTTATCGCATTCTGCGGCTTATATAAATTTAATAATTTACATGAAATTATAACATATGTATTTACTCGCTATACCATACCATTTATTTATTATTATTATTATTTTTATTATATATATATATATATGCTTGTATATATAGCCATTTAGCCCCCATTGTCTGACTAGAATCGCTGAAACGCCATTATCCACAATATTTATAATATAATAGTAAAAAAAAAACAATAACAAAAAAAAAATAGAGAGACACACACACTCGTTAGGTTTTCGAGACGCCAATTGCGATCTTCGAGCACATGCCATTGAGTATGGGATGATGCTTGAGCTAGGTTCCTGATCGGTCATGTATCGGTATGTCTATACACTATCCATATATATATATATATTCATTCGCTGAGTTTGCAGGGGATAATGAGGGTAATAAAGGTCCTCTTGCCGAATCTAGAGAGGAGAAACTCTGCCCACACTTTGTACTCGTTAATACGCTTTACTTTACTCGTTTCTCATGGTGTAAAAATATTATTCAATATCATTATTATTACTATATTTACTATTACTATTACTATATTTATAATATTTATTTTATGCTTCCTATACAACTATACATATTTGTGTGTGTGTTTTGTGTGTGTGTTAAAATCAGATTTGGGAAACACACAATTCTAAACAGATCTAAACACTTAAAAAGATTGGCACGCTTTGAAATCGGAGCTCGAACGGATGATGGGCATGGAGATCTTCGGAGGAGAATATGGAATATATGGAGGAACTAAAGTTATTGTTGCGCTTCAAATTGAACTACGTGAAATGGAGCTCCCACTCCCACTCCCGCTTCCGCTTCCGCTCCTACAGATCCCTTCTAGGTATTGCACTCTTGTCACGGCCCCAGGATATAGTCATAGTCTACCCGTCCCCTCCCTCACGCCTCTAGTAGTAGGCGGGGAACGGGTGATAGTTAGACGGATTCGAGGCATGATGATTGGCCGACGGCAGCACAGGCGGCGGTCGTACGCCCGGATGGTAGTTGCTCGATGCCACCTGGTGGTAGGCCCCAAAGCTGCGGGCCATGTGCCGATTCTGGGCCACTGCCGCCGCCGACTCGCCCAGGAGGCGGGACTGGTCTGCTGTGCCCAGCAGGCGATTGTTCTGTTCCATCAGCAGATGGGCGGTGGGGTCGACCAGCAGGCGGTGCTGGTCGGCGGCATTTGAGGCGGCCAGAATTCGGTGCTGCTCCACCGTAGAGAGCAGGCGGTGATGCTCGAGACTGTCGCGGCTCTGGTGCTGCATCTGCGAGGAGAGGAACGACCGATTGTTGCCCACGGCCATGTTGGCCGTGTTCGGTGTGAGGTCCAGCGAGGCCATTCGCAGCATGTCGTGATGCGGATGGTTGTAGGGCAGCTGTGGCGGCGACGACACCACATAGTTGGCCGTGCGGCTCAGGTCCACGGAGGTGGTCTGGTCGTGCTCCTGCTCGCCCAGCTGCTCGCTCAGCATGTTGTGCATGGCCGCCGCCGACTGGTGTTGCTGCATGGCCAGCTGGCTGCCGTGTCCGTGCTCCTGCTGGTGCACCACCGATGCACCCTTTGCCTGCTGTGCCTGCGCCTGGGCCTGGGCCTGCGCCTGCTGGCTCTGCTCCCCGTCCGACAGAATGTCGTAGATGTGGTGATGGTAGCGACTGCTTGGCAGCTGGAAGTTGTGGTGATAGTTGCTCGACGCATTCGATCTCGAGCTCATGTCCAGGCCCTGCAGATCGGACAGATCGTTGGCCGCACTCGCCGCCACGGCAGCAGCCGCCGCCGCACTCGCCGCATTGCTGTTGCTGCTCTGGCGATACTCCGCCGGCGAGTCGAGCTCCTGGCTGTTGTACTTCAGGTTGCTGGCCATGCTCTCGTACTTGGAGTACATGAGATCGATCTGCGACTGGGGGAACTTCATGCGCATATCCTGGCCCGCGCTGCTGGAAATAACAAACAGAATGAACGTTCCATTAGCGGTAAAAGTAGCGAGTAACGAGGGAAAAATGCAATGAAAAATAAGAGTTGGTGGAGCGATAAATGCTGACATACAAAAATGTTCTGTACCTGTTCTGCGGCATGATGCTGTTCTCCTCGTCGCTGGACATTTGATTGTGACGCGAGAGGTTGTGCCGCTGGCGTTGCTCGTGCTGGTCCTGCTCCTGCACCGCCCGGAGAGATGGGCGGCGGCGAGGGCGGCGGCGAGGGCGGCGGCGAGGGCGGCGGCGAGGGCGGCGGCGAGGGCGGCGGCGAGGGCGGCGTGCGATGGTGCGACGAAGAGAAGCCATCGGAGTCGGGATGCTGCGGTCGGGGTGTGCTGCCCGCATCCACGTCCACATCGTTCTGGTTCTGGTTGCTCTGCGGATTGGTTGGCGTCGAGGCGCTGGGCGAGATGTTGCAGGCTCCCTGGAACATCGGAAGTGAATTCTGAATTATGGAGAGGAATTGCTTGATTGCTGAAAAGCCACGCTAAGATAATCTAATCGGGGGAACTGAACTCGAGTGTCGCCGCGGGACAACAGCAACAGCAAAAAGACGTTTGGCTATACGTGGGGGCTGGCCCCAGCACTCACCTTCCGTGCGCCAGATGTACCGCGTGAGGGACCAGGGCGTACGCATATCCTGCGGATGACTGGGCTCAATATAGTGCTTCATTTCGCGCAGGGCCTGGAGCTTGCATTTGATCAGCTCCGTGGGGCAGAGGGTGAGGGTGGAGAAGCAGGCGGCCAGGGAGCCGGCACAGGCATTTTGGGTGGTCGTCAGCTGGCTGGTTGTCTCCTTATTGACCATGAAAGCGACAAACTTCTGGCATCCTCCGTAGGCGGCAAAGAGAACCGAATTCTCGGCCACATTGGCCACCACGGCGGGCAGGGAGCCCGCATAGAGGCCCCGGAATATACCATCCTTTCGATACGTGCTCACGAAACAGTCGAACATTCCTTTGTAGGCCTCCGGGAAGGTCTGCAGCTTCACCTTGACAGTGTCCAGCGGCTGCGAGACGTACACCTGTGCGGCCCCGCCTAAGAGATCAAGGGGAGTTGATATTGGTCCCATGGTGTCGGCAGAGCTGTGTGTATACGCACCCAAAGAGCCCGCCAGGAAGTCGATGAGCCCCTCCACAAAGTTGATGTTGTTCCCGGTTCCGCCTCCATGCATGTCGAGGCGCCGTACGAGTCTTAGGAATTTGCCGAATATGAATAGGAGGCCGTCACGCACGGCTTCGAGCGTCGAGAGTGGACTGAGCTTCCGACGCTCGTTCTCGCTCTGCTGGCTCTCCTCCTCGGCCTCGGCCTCCAGCACCGCCTGCTCGTATGCCTCGAGCAGTTCATCGGGGGCCCCTATCAGCACGGAGCTGCCCACTCGGCTGGAGCCGACTCGCGGCCGTGTCAGCGTTGACGCTGGTTGCTCATCATCGTTCTTGGGGGCAGGCTTTGGCTCTCGCGGTGCTTGTCTCTTCAGGAATTTCTCTTCGGGTGTCGGGGGTAGGAGCGGTGTTGGTGGCTCCGTTGGATCTTCTCTCTTACCGATTTGCCTTGACCCCCTGCCCGCGTAAAATGTTTCGGGCTGTGGTTTCTCTTCGGGTCTTGTGCTCTTCTTGTCTGACATGACAGTGCTCTTAGTCTGCTGCTGGATGTTGCTTTCTTCTCTCTTTATTGCTGTTTACTGAAATTCGTCATCATCAAACGATCGGCTGCTCTTCCGATCGTTGTCGTTCGTGTCCGGTCTGTGGCTGTTGGTGTTGGTGTTGGTGTTGTGTGGGTCTGTTGCTTATTCTCTTTGTCTGTTATTGAACGCGCTCTGATAACTTCGAGCTTTCTGTTGTGTCTTCTTTTCCAGCGATAGTTGTTTTGTTCGCTTTTTCAGCGGTATTTGTTATGTCTGCTTCTTCAGAGGTAGCTGTTATTTTCGCGTTTCCGCCGGTAGCTGTTATATCTGCTTTTACAGCGGGGGCTGTTAAATCTGCCTTTGCAGCGGGTGTTGCTATATCTGCTTTTACAGCGGCCGTTGTTATATCTGCTTTTACAGCGGACGCTGTTATGGCGGCGTTTGCAGTGGGGACTGTTATGCCCGTTTTTACAGCGGAGGCTGTTATATCTTCGTTTACAGTGGGATCTGTTATGTCGGCTTTTACACAGGTAGCTGCTATGTCCGCGTTTCCAGTGGTGACTGCTGTGTTAGCTGTTTCTATTTCTGTTACTTCCACTGTTCCAGGCACTGTTAACTCCAACGTTTCAGGCGTCACTGTTGGTCGCTGTGTCTCAGCAAATTGTTCCAAATTCTTAGAAGTTTCCAATCGACTTATTTCAGCTGCTACTAAGTTCGAGTTTTTAAACAAATTTACAACTTGTGTCGTGGGCAAGGGGATACTACTTTCGGGCACTGGCAGTGGGGCTTGCTCTGCTTCAATACTCCCGAGCCGTAATGCGGTGGTTAGCTTAGCTTTAGCACAACCTTCCGACCAATCAATTGGATGCTTTGGATACTGGCCAACTGATGCGTTCAGGTAGCGGTTCAGTAGCGAATCCGATGCTTTTGCAACCACCGCTTCTTCTTCAGTTATGTTCTGTTCTTGTTGATCAAAATGGCTTGCAGCTAATTTCAATGACGCTAGTTGGGCGCTGCCACACGGACTTGACGGGGTACTGCTGTCGGTTACGGGTGCTAGGGGCTGCTCTTCTGGTGCCACAATACTCCGGAACCGTAGGGCGGTGGTTAGCTTAGCTTTAGCACAACCTTCCGACCAATCAATTGGATGCTTTGGATACTGGTCAACTGATGCGTTCAGGTAGCGGGCCAGTAGCGAATTCGCTGCTTTTGTAGCTTCTGCTTCTGCTTCTGCTTCTTCTTCAGTCAACTGTTCCTCGGCCTCGGCCGCAGGAGCTTGTCGATCGAATGTGCTTGCAGTCAATTTCAATGGTTGTATGGGCTCGTTACCAGACGCTGTGCTGGACTTTTTGTCATATGGAGAGGTGCACAATGGATTCAGGGTTCGCAGCAGTGGCCGCGGGGCACGAGGTCCTGGCTTGGGTGCGGCTGGTGGCCGACCAAAAATCTTTGCGATATTGGAACGTACCTTTTTAGATGCCAAACCAGTCACAATCGCCGTCACGCCCACAATGCCCACTAGGCCCACAACGCCCTCCGTTAGTGTGTCTTCGCGTGTGTGTCTTTCGTTGGGATCCCAAACTTTCTGCTTTCGATTGTACTCGTACTCGTAATCCTTACTCATTTTTGGGAACCGAAAATTTGGTTTTGAAATAATATGCGCACTTTGTATATTTGTATGTGTCTGCTACGATGCCAAAAAGGTGTCTAGAAAAACTGCCTTCTGTCAGAATAAAATTCTTATCGATTGAAATGCCTTTCAATGTACGTTTTTTGTTGTTTTTTTTTATTATTAATAATCGATAATTTGATTACGCCATATGTATATATATGTCTGTGTGTATATATATATATATATCATTTCGATCAGCGTTTTCAGTGTGTGTGTGTTTGTGTGGGTGTGTCTGTCTGTTTTTGTGGATATACAATTCTTGCATTAATATTATTATCATTGTTTTTGGGTTTTTTTCTTGTTTTTTTTGGTATGTGTTTTGTATATCGTTTCAGTTTTTTTTAATATTTTGTTGGTTTATGTTTTTTTCGGGCTTTTTGTTCTTTTGCCTTATCGCATTCTGCGGCTTATATAAATTTAATAATTTACATGAAATTATAACATATGTATTTACTCGCTATACCATACCATTTATTTATTATTATTATTATTTTTATTATATATATATATATATGCTTGTATATATAGCCATTTAGCCCCCATTGTCTGACTAGAATCGCTGAAACGCCATTATCCACAATATTTATAATATAATAGTAAAAAAAAAACAATAACAAGAAAAAAAATAGAGAGACACACACACTCGTTAGGTTTTCGAGACGCCAATTGCGATCTTCGAGCACATGCCATTGAGTATGGGATGATGCTTGAGCTAGGTTCCTGATCGGTCATGTATCGGTATGTCTATACACTATCCATATATATATATATATTCATTCGCTGAGTTTGCAGGGGATAATGAGGGTAATAAAGGTCCTCTTGCCGAATCTAGAGAGGAGAAACTCTGCCCACACTTTGTACTCGTTAATACGCTTTACTTTACTCGTTTCTCATGGTGTAAAAATATTATTCAATATCATTATTATTACTATATTTACTATTACTATTACTATATTTATAATATTTATTTTATGCTTCCTATACAACTATACATATTTGTGTGTGTGTTTTGTGTGTGTGTTAAAATCAGATTTGGGAAACACACAATTCTAAACAGATCTAAACACTTAAAAAGATTGGCACGCTTTGAAATCGGAGCTCGAACGGATGATGGGCATGGAGATCTTCGGAGGAGAATATGGAATATATGGAGGAACTAAAGTTATTGTTGCGCTTCAAATTGAACTACGTGAAATGGAGCTCCCACTCCCACTCCCGCTTCCGCTTCCGCTCCTACAGATCCCTTCTAGGTATTGCACTCTTGTCACGGCCCCAGGATATAGTCATAGTCTACCCGTCCCCTCCCTCACGCCTCTAGTAGTAGGCGGGGAACGGGTGATAGTTAGACGGATTCGAGGCATGATGATTGGCCGACGGCAGCACAGGCGGCGGTCGTACGCCCGGATGGTAGTTGCTCGATGCCACCTGGTGGTAGGCCCCAAAGCTGCGGGCCATGTGCCGATTCTGGGCCACTGCCGCCGCCGACTCGCCCAGGAGGCGGGACTGGTCTGCTGTGCCCAGCAGGCGATTGTTCTGTTCCATCAGCAGATGGGCGGTGGGGTCGACCAGCAGGCGGTGCTGGTCGGCGGCATTTGAGGCGGCCAGAATTCGGTGCTGCTCCACCGTAGAGAGCAGGCGGTGATGCTCGAGACTGTCGCGGCTCTGGTGCTGCATCTGCGAGGAGAGGAACGACCGATTGTTGCCCACGGCCATGTTGGCCGTGTTCGGTGTGAGGTCCAGCGAGGCCATTCGCAGCATGTCGTAATGCGGATGGTTGTAGGGCAGCTGTGGCGGCGACGACACCACATAGTTGGCCGTGCGGCTCAGGTCCACGGAGGTGGTCTGGTCGTGCTCCTGCTCGCCCAGCTGCTCGCTCAGCATGTTGTGCATGGCCGCCGCCGACTGGTGTTGCTGCATGGCCAGCTGGCTGCCGTGTCCGTGCTCCTGCTGGTGCACCACCGATGCACCCGTTGCCTGCTGTGCCTGCGCCTGGGCCTGGGCCTGCGCCTGCTGGCTCTGCTCCCTGTCCGACAGAATGTCGTAGATGTGATGGTAGCGACTGCTTGGCAGCTGGATGTTGTGGTGATAGTTGCTCGACGCATTCGATCTCGAGCTCATGTCCAGGCCCTGCAGATCGGACAGATCGTTGGCCGCACTCGCCGCCACGGCAGCAGCCGCCGCCGCACTCGCCGCATTGCTGTTGCTGCTCTGGCGATACTCCGCCGGCGAGTCGAGCTCCTGGCTGTTGTACTTCAGGTTGCTCGCCATGCTCTCGTACTTGGAGTACATGAGATCGATCTACGACCGCGCTGCTCGAAATAACAAACAGAATGAACGTTCCATTGGCGGTAAAAGTAGCGAGTAACGAGGGAAAAATGCAATGAAAAATAAGAGTTGGTGAAGCGATAAATGCTGACATACAAAAATGTTCTGTACCTGTTCTGCGGCATGATGCTGTTCTCCTCGTCGCTGGACATTTGATTGTGACGCGAGAGGTTGTGCCGCTGGCGTTGCTCGTGCTGGTCCTGCTCCTGCACCGCCCGGAGAGTTGGGCGGCGGCGAGGGCGGCGTGCGATGGTGCGACGAAGAGAAGCCATCGGAGTCGGGATGCTGCGGTTGGGGTGTGCTGCCCGCATCCACGTCCACATCGTTCTGGTTCTGGTTGCTCTGCGGATTGGTTGGCGTCGAGGCGCTGGGCGAGATGTTGCAGGCTCCCAGGAACATCGGAAGTGAATTCTGAATTATGGAGAGGAATTGCTTGATTGCTGAAAAGCCACGCTAAGATAATCTAATCGGGGGAACTGAACTCGAGTGTCGCCGCGGGACAACAGCAACAGCAAAAAGACGTTTGGCTATACGTGGGGGCTGGCCCCAGCACTCACCTTCCGTGCGCCAGATGTACCGCGTGAGGGACCAGGGCGTACGCATATCCTGCGGATGACTGGGCTCAATATAGTGCTTCATTTCGCGCAGGGCCTGGAGGGTGAGCGTAGAGAAGCAGGCGGCCAGGGAGCCGGCACAGGCATTTTGGGTGGTCGTCAGCTGGCTGGTTGTCTCCTTATTGACCATGAAAGCGACAAACTTCTGGCATCCTCCGTAGGCGGCAAAGAGAACCGAATTCTCGGCCACATTGGCCACCACGGCGGGCAGGGAGCCCGCATAGAGGCCCCGGAATATACCATCCTTTCGATACGTGCTCACGAAACAGTCGAACATTCCTTTGTAGGCCTCCGGGAAGGTCTGCAGCTTCACCTTGACAGTGTCCAGCGGCTGCGAGACGTACACCTGTGCGGCCCCGCCTAAGAGATCAAGGGGAGTTGATATTGGTCCCATGGTGTCGGCAGAGCTGTGTGTATACGCACCCAAAGAGCCCGCCAGGAAGTCGATGAGCCCCTCCACAAAGTTGATGTTGTTCCCGGTTCCGCCTCCATGCATGTCGAGGCGCCGTACGAGTCTTAGGAATTTGCCGAATATGAATAGGAGGCCGTCACGCACGGCTTCGAGCGTCGAGAGTGGACTGAGCTTCCGACGCTCGTTCTCGCTCTGCTGGCTCTCCTCCTCGGCCTCGGCCTCCAGCACCGCCTGCTCGTATGCCTCGAGCAGTTCATCGGGGGCCCCTATCAGCACGGAGCTGCCCACTCGGCTGGAGCCGACTCGCGGCCGTGTCAGCGTTGACGCTGGTTGCTCATCATCGTTCTTGGGGGCAGGCTTTGGCTCTCGCGGTGCTTGTCTCTTCAGGAATTTCTCTTCGGGTGTCGGGGGTAGGAGCGGTGTTGGTGGCTCCGTTGGATCTTCTCTCTTACCGATTTGCCTTGACCCCCTGCCCGCGTAAAATGTTTCGGGCTGTGGTTTCTCTTCGGGTCTTGTGCTCTTCTTTTCTGACATGACAGTGCTCTTAGTCTGCTGCTGGATGTTGCTTTCTTCTCTCTTTATTGCTGTTTACTGAAATTCGTCATCATCAAACGATCGGCTGCTCTTCCGATCGTTATCGTTCGTGTCCGGTCTGTGGCTGTTGCTGTTGGTGTTGGTGTTGTGTGGGTCTGTTGCTTATTCTCTTTGTCTGTTATTGAACGCGCTCTGATAACTTCGAGCTTTCTGTTGTGTCTTCTTTTCCAGCGATAGTTGTTTTGTTCGCTTTTTCAGCGGTATTTGTTATGTCTGCTTCTTCAGAGGTATCTGCTGCTTTTATATCTGCTTTTACAGCGGCCGTTGTTATATCTGCTTTTACAGCGGACGCTGTTATGGCGGCGTTTGCAGTGGGGACTGTTATGCCCGTTTTTACAGCGGAGGCTGTTATATCTTCGTTTACAGTGGGATCTGTTATGTCGGCTTTTACACAGGTAGCTGCTATGTCCGCGTTTCCAGTGGTGACTGCTGTGTTAGCTGTTTCTATTTCTGTTACTTCCACTGTTCCAGGCACTGTTAACTCCAACGTTTCAGGCGTCACTGTTGGTCGCTGTGTCTCAGCAAATTGTTCCAAATTCTTAGAAGTTTCCAATCGACTTATTTCAGCTGCTACTAAGTTCGAGTTTTTAAACAAATTTACAACTTGTGTCGTGGGCAAGGGGATACTACTTTCGGGCACTGGCAGTGGGGCTTGCTCTGCTTCAATACTCCCGAGCCGTAATGCGGTGGTTAGCTTAGCTTTAGCACAACCTTCCGACCAATCAATTGGATGCTTTGGATACTGGCCAACTGATGCGTTCAGGTAGCGGTTCAGTAGCGAATCCGATGCTTTTGCAACCACCGCTTCTTCTTCAGTTATGTTCTGTTCTTGTTGATCAAAATGGCTTGCAGCTAATTTCAATGACGCTAGTTGGGCGCTGCCACACGGACTTGACGGGGTACTGCTGTCGGTTACGGGTGCTAGGGGCTGCTCTTCTGGTGCCACAATACTCCGGAACCGTAGGGCGGTGGTTAGCTTAGCTTTAGCACAACCTTCCGACCAATCAATTGGATGCTTTGGATACTGGTCAACTGATGCGTTCAGGTAGCGGGCCAGTAGCGAATTCGCTGCTTTTGTAGCTTCTGCTTCTGCTTCTGCTTCTTCTTCAGTCAACTGTTCCTCGGCCTCGGCCGCAGGAGCTTGTCGATCGAATGTGCTTGCAGTCAATTTCAATGGTTGTATGGGCTCGTTACCAGACGCTGTGCTGGACTTTTTGTCATATGGAGAGGTGCACAATGGATTCAGGGTTCGCAGCAGTGGCCGCGGGGCACGAGGTCCTGGCTTGGGTGCGGCTGGTGGCCGACCAAAAATCTTTGCGATATTGGAACGTACCTTTTTAGATGCCAAACCAGTCACAATCGCCGTCACGCCCACAATGCCCACTAGGCCCACAACGCCCTCCGTTAGTGTGTCCTCGCGTGTGTGTCTTTCGTTGGGATCCCAAACTTTCTGCTTTCGATTGTACTCGTAATCCTTACTCATTTTTGGGAACCGAAAATTTGGTTTTGAAATAATATGCGCACTTTGTATATTTGTATGTGTCTGCTACGATGCCAAAAAGGTGTCTAGAAAAACTGCCTTCTGTCAGAATAAAATTCTTATCGATTGAAATGCCTTTCAATGTACGTTTTTTGTTGTTTTTTTTTATTATTAATAATCGATAATTTGATTACGCCATATGTATATATATGTCTGTGTGTATATATATATATATATCATTTCGATCAGCGTTTTCAGTGTGTGTGTGTTTGTGTGGGTGTTTTTTTTTTTTTTTTTTTTTTTTTTTTTTTTTTTTTTTGTTGTTGTGTGACTACAGGAAAGCTTCATGCCGACTCAGCCGAAGCCGAAGTGAGGGACTCTAACCGCTCTAAAACCAACCACACCTATCCCGGATCCCGGCGGTACTGTCGCGAGATATTACTTCGCCGGGGGGAGATGCCCGTAGGGCTCTTCTCTTAACAATCTCCTTTATCCTTTATCTCCTAGCATTGCGTGCTCTTTCTTCGCGACGCAGTTTGGTAGCCATAGTTACGGCCATGAATCTAATCGCGGCCCAGTTTCCTTCCGACTCCAGCAGGCATTCTGCCAGGTTTGTCACCGCTGGCATTCTTCCAAGCTTGTTGCTTAGATCCTCTCGTTCTTGCCGAAATCTTGGACATTCGAAGAAGCAGTGCTCTGCGTCTTCGATGACCCCTGCGCAGACCACGCAGAAGGGGTCGTCCTCGTGCTTAAACCTATGCAGGTAGGCTTTAAAGCAACCGTGTCCTGTCAGCAGTTGTGTCAGGTGATACTCCACTTGTCCATGGCTACGGTTCAGCCAACTCTTCAGGTCTGGGATTAGCCTATGGGTCCATCGCCCTTTGCTGCTGTTATCCCACGAATCTTGCCATTGCAGGATTGTGCGCTGCCTTAAGGCACCTCTGGTGTCCTGGTCCGTAGTCCCCAGGGTTCGCTGTGCCCTGATTCCTGCGGCTTCTCTTGCCAGCAGATGGATGGGAATCATTCCTGCTACCACAAGTGCGGCGTCTTGGGATACCGTTCTGAATGCGCAACACACCCTCAGGGCACACAGCCTCTGGACTGCGTTGCATTCTCGGGCATATGTTTTATGCTTCATTGCATCAACCCATATTGGTGCCGCGTACATTAGCGTTGAGCCAACTACGCTCGCTAGTAGCTTTCGCCTTGGCTGTTTCGGGCCTCCGGTGTTGGCCATGATGCGGGATAGGGCCACTGCCGTCTTTCCTGCTTTGCTGCTTGCATACGCCATGTGATGCTTGAAGCTGAGTCTGTGGTCAATCATGACCCCCAGGTACTTCAGGCTTGGACTGGAGCTAATAGTGCAGTCTCCTACTCGAATCGTGGCCGTCTCCACTACTTTCCTGCTGCTTATGAGCACCGCCTCCGTTTTGTGGGTGGCTAATGCGAGATCCCTCCCTGATAGCCATGTTCTGGCTCTCTCTACCGCGTCGTTGCAGATTTCTTCCGCCGCTTCTTTCTGTTTTGCCACTACGACTATTGCTATGTCGTCGGCAAAGCCTATCACCGTTGCGCCCATTGGCATATCCATCTTGAGGATTCCATCATACATGATGTTCCACAGCAGCGGGCCGAGGACCGATCCTTGGGGAACTCCTCCAGTGATTTGGTGCTCACGTGTCCCCTTATCCGTCTCATATATGAGCAATCGGTCTCTTAGGTAGTCCGCGATGATATTCTGCAGATACGGCGGTACTTGAAAGTTTCTCAGTTCTTCTAGTATGTGATCCCAATTGGCAGAGTTGAATGCATTTTGGACATCGAGTGTTGCCACTATGCAATACTCTTTGGTCCCGTACATCCACCGGGTGCCATCGATAGCTCGCTTTGCTATCTCACATACCTCGCCGATTGCGTCCACCGTGGACCTGCCTTTGCGAAACCCGTGCTGTCTCGGTGAGAGCTGACGCGTTACTGCCTTCTCCAGCCTGGTGTGGATTATGCGCTCGAGGATCTTACCCACTGTGTCGAGCATGCAGAGTGGTCTATAGGATGATGGCTCCTCGGTCGGCTTGTTCCCCTTGGGTAAGAGGACTAGCCGCTGTCGCTTCCATGGTCTGGGGAAGGTCCCTTCGGACATGCACGCATTGAATAAATCCACGTACATTTGTGGATTGGTCTCAATAGCCGTGCGGAGAACGGCATTCGGGACCCCATCAGGTCCTGGTGCTTTGCCGTTCTTTATCCGTTGTAGAGCTTCGAGGACTTCTGCTCCCGTGGTGGCTTCTATTTCAGGTGGCGGTATTCTATCCATCACCCTCTGGCCTGCCACTTTCTCTGGGAATAGGGTTTCTACTATGTTAACCAGCAGATCTGCACACATTGGCGGCGGGGGACTGAACACTCGCAGTCTCTTCATTACCAGCCTGTATGCGTAGCCCCAAGGGTTCGCATCTGCGTCATCGCAGAGCTTTTCGAAGCATTTGCGCTTGGCATCTTTGATCTGCCTCTTCAAGCAGCGTCTGCTTTCCTTATATTCTCCTTGGAGCCTCTCGAATTCCGGGGAACCTCTCGAACGCTGGTACAGTCGTCTTTTCCGCTGGCACTCCTGCCTGGCGCTACCTATTGCAGCGTTCCACCAATAAGCTGGCCTGCGGTTGTTCAGGCTTCTTCCTTTCCTTAGCATGGAGGCATCACATGCTTCCAGCGTATGTATAGCCAGTTGGCTTGCTCTCTCTTCAGCCGTACCGTTGGTCTCGTAGTCCTCAAACATGGCCCGGACCATATCCGGCTCTAGCGTTTCGGTCTTATAACCGATCCGCTTGCCAATGAACGGGTTAGGTGCGCCCGCTTCCTGGATTTCACATATGAGGGCTTGGTGGTCACTCCCGGTGTATAAGCCACTAACTTCCCACGTTGTCCTGCGGCTGAGGCTGCTGCTCACGAACGTAAGGTCTATTATAGACCCCGTTCCAGCTCTGCCGAACGTCTGCTGTGTGCCTGTGTTCAGCAGTACGGCATCCAACGTCGCAAAGCATTCTAGGAGTGCCTGTCCCCTTGGGTTCGTTCTCGGGCATCCCCACTCCGTCGCCCAAGCGTTGAAATCGCCGGCTATGAGCGTAGGGTGTTTCTCCCGCGCGTCTTCAGCAATCCTTTCCAGTGCCTGCGTCGCCTGCTGTAGGCTGAGGCTCGGGGGCAGGTAGCAGCTATATATGTGCACTCCATTTATCCGGGCTCTGGCGAATCCGTCTCCGACGTATGTTTGCAGTAATTGCTGTGTGGGACTCGCACAGCTCCATATCGCTGCCTTCTTGTTCGAGTCAGCAATCCACTCTCCCGAGTTGCGATTCCGGTATTGCTCGCTTATGACTGCTACATCTATACGGTGCTCCCTTATTGTCTGGTCCAGCAGCTGCTGTGCCATCTCGCAGTGGTTGAGGTTTAGTTGGATGATTTTCATCTATCCTTCATTTGCTGCATCGCCTTTTGGTACTGCGGGCACCTCGAACTCGTCGTTTGGTGCTTCGGGTCCTTCACCCGGTGGCGCTTGCAAAGAATGCAACTTGGTTCGTCTTTGCAATCTTTGGCCTGGTGGTCGGCTCCTGCGCAATTGTAGCAGCACTTCGTGAAATCTTGGCTGCTCTTACAATTAGGCGCGATGTGGCCAAACTCCATGCACTTGTAGCATCTTCGGGGAGTTGACTTGGGTCGTATTCTGCAATACCCCCACCCCAGGCGAATTCTTCCTTTCTCCAGGAGGGGCTTTGCTATAGCCGGTGGAACTTTCAGGGTCAGGGTCTGCGTGCTCCTATAGGCTGGTCTGATGGAGATGGCTGCGGCCTCGCATATTTCCACCCCTGCCTGCGCTTTGAGTTCCGCTAGGACTTCCTCTTGGGTGGACACTTCGTCTATGTCCCTTACCTCCAAGATGACAGTTTCGGTAAGACTCCTTACTTCAACCGTGCTTCCTAGCGCTTCCTTGACTGCTGCCTGCATCTCTTGGGTTCTCGGGTCCGCCGGTTTTTCCAGCATCAGCAACAGCTCTCCTTTTGCTGTGCGTCGCACCCCTTGCACCGATTGCCCTAGCTTTTTAAGACTTGGCTCTGTCTTGACCTTCCTTAGGATGTCTGCATATGAGACAGTGCCGGTGGCGGCGATGACTATTGCATCGCTGCGTGGCGGTCTTGGTCGTTGCTGCTGCTTTGGCTTTGGCCTTTGCCTGGCTACGACCTTCACCCACCCTACGTCTCGCTCCTTTGGGGCGTCCTCCGGTCCCTTGCGAGCTACGGCGTCCCTCATTTGGCCTTCCTGCGGCTTCTTCTCCATTTTTTTTTGACTTCTTGGGTCCATGTTTTGGCTTCTTCGGTCTTGGGGACGGGGACGGGGACTCGTGGGTGGTGTTCCTGGGCTCTGGCCGTGCCCTCTTTCCCGCCCTCTCCGTCACTGCCGGCTGTGCAACCTTGGCTACAGCCTGCTCCGCAGAGATCGCCTGCCAGCACGATTCCAACTCTCGCTGCAGATATTCGATCTCATCCACCAGATCCCTCATTGGGTTCGTGATGGACCTCTTTGGGAGCACCATCAGCTTCCTCAACTCTCTGGCCTTTTGGCCCAAGCTCGCCAAATGCGCCATGGCCCTCTCCTTCGGGTCTGCTTGCTCCTCTTGGGGGCGCTGCAGCGTTGGAGGAGAGGATCTTGCGCGCTCCTCCACTGCTTCCGCCGGCTGGTTTGGCGATCGCGCCAGAGCATTTCTCCGGCGAAAGGGATTCTCCTCATCCCAGGCGAATGAGCTTGTCAGCGGAGTGCTGCAAGCCGCAGCTTGTTCCCGCTGATCGCTCATCTCCGATCTGGCCGTTGATCTGGCAACTCCGGTTGCTGCGGCCGCGCCCTCTATTGGCCAGACGCTGTCGTTTTCCAGCACTTAGCCTCCAGTCAGCTGTTCTTCCGTCGTTTTCCAACACCACTTGCGGTGTGCTTGGCCAATTTTGCCCAAAAACAAAAAGAAGGCAGCAACCAACAAGTGGCGCCAAGAATCACAGCGAAGAAGAATAGGAAAACAGGCACTTACCTGCTCCTCCTTCCCCCCCCTTCGGCCTATGGCTCGACGGCGTCCCACTGGGATTTCGGCCAGTACTATTGGCCAGGTGGCCGCTTCTCTGCTTGCGGACTTGCGTTCCGCGCAGGTAAGTAACGCAGCACTACTATGGCTCGCGCTAACTACTCTTTGCCTCTTTTCCAGGCTAACTTCCGACGTTTTCCACTGAATTATACGGAACGATTTAAAACACGACCGCACTCACTAGAATACACAGAATGTCTCTCGTTTGTGTGGGTGTGTCTGTCTGTTTTTGTGGATATACAATTCTTGCATTAATATTATTATCATTGTTTTTGGGTTTTTTTCTTGTTTTTTTTGGTATGTGTTTTGTATATCGTTTCAGTTTTTTTTAATATTTTGTTGGTTTATGTTTTTTTCGGGCTTTTTGTTCTTTTGCCTTATCGCATTCTGCGGCTTATATAAATTTATTAATTTACATGAAATTATAACATATGTATTTACTCGCTATACCATACCATTTATTTATTATTATTATTATTTTTATTATATATATATATATATGTTTGTATATATAGCCATTTAGCCCCCATTGTCTGACTAGAATCGCTGAAACGCCATTATCCACAATATTTATAATATAATAGTAAAAAAAAAACAATAACAAGAAAAAAAATAGAGAGACACACACACTCGTTAGGTTTTCGAGACGCCAATTGCGATCTTCGAGCACATGCCATTGAGTGTGGGATGATGCTTGAGCTAGGTTCCTGATCGGTCATGTATCGGTATGTCTATACACTATCCATATATATATTCATTCGCTGAGTCTGCATGGGATAATGAGGGTAATAAAGGTCCTCTTGCCGAATCTAGAGAGGAGAAACTCTGCCCACACTTTGTACTCGTTAATACGCTTTACTTTACTCGTTTCTCATGGTGTAAAAATATTATTCAATATCATTATTATTACTATTATTATTTAGCATGTTTAGCACTTTTATCGTCTTTTTCTTTTGTCATCTTTTCTTTTTGTTCCTAAACAAACTCAGCATGAAATTTGCTTTTAAAAAAATTCTCACTGCAGGCTTCCTTTTCATATGGGTTTCATTCGCTTTTTCCACTTTCGATTTATATTTACCATACATACTATATTTATATATATTTATAATATTTATTTTATGCTTCCTATACAACTATACATATTTGTGTGTGTGTTTTGTGTGTGTGTTAAAATCAGATTTGGGAAACACACACAATTCTAAACAGATCTAAACACTTAAAAAGATTGGCACGCTTTGAAATCGGAGCTCGAACGGATGATGGGCATGGAGATCTTCGGAGGAGAATATGGAATATATGGAGGAACTAAAGTTATTGTTGCGCTTCAAATTGAACTACGTGAAATGGAGCTCCCACTCCCACTCCCGCTTCCGCTCCTTCAGATCCCTTCTAGGTATTGCACTCTTGTCACGGCCCCAGGATATAGTCATAGTCTACCCGTCCCCTCCCTCACGCCTCTAGTAGTAGGCGGGGAACGGGTGATAGACGGATTCGAGGCATGATGATTGGCCGACGGCAGCACAGGCGGCGGTCGTACGCCCGGATGGTAGTTGCTCGATGCCACCTGGTGGTAGGCCCCAAAGCTGCGGGCCATGTGCCGATTCTGGGCCACTGCCGCCGCCGACTCGCCCAGGAGGCGGGACTGGTCTGCTGTGCCCAGCAGGCGATTGTTCTGTTCCATCAGCAGATGGGCGGTGGGGTCGACCAGCAGGCGGTGCTGGTCGGCGGCATTTGAGGCGGCCAGAATTCGGTGCTGCTCCACCGTAGAGAGCAGGCGGTGATGCTCGAGACTGTCGCGGCTCTGGTGCTGCATCTGCGAGGAGAGGAACGACCGATTGTTGCCCACGGCCATGTTGGCCGTGTTCGGTGTGAGGTCCAGCGAGGCCATTCGCAGCATGTCGTGATGCGGATGGTTGTAGGGCAGCTGTGGCGGCGACGACACCACATAGTTGGCCGTGCGGCTCAGGTCCACGGAGGTGGTCTGGTCGTGCTCCTGCTCGCCCAGCTGCTCGCTCAGCATGTTGTGCATGGCCGCCGCCGACTGGTGTTGCTGCATGGCCAGCTGGCTGCCGTGTCCGTGCTCCTGCTGGTGCACCACCGATGCACCCTTTGCCTGCTGTGCCTGCGCCTGGGCCTGGGCCTGCGCCTGCTGGCTCTGCTCCCTGTCCGACAGAATGTCGTAGATGTGATGGTAGCGACTGCTTGGCAGCTGGATGTTGTGGTGATAGTTGCTCGACGCATTCGATCTCGAGCTCATGTCCAGGCCCTGCAGATCGGACAGATCGTTGGCCGCACTCGCCGCCACGGCAGCAGCCGCCGCCGCACTCGCCGCATTGCTGTTGCTGCTCTGGCGATACTCCGCCGGCGAGTCGAGCTCCTGGCTGTTGTACTTCAGGTTGCTCGCCATACTCTCGTACTTGGAGTACATGAGATCGATCTACGACTGGGGGAACTTCATGCGCATATCCTGGCCCGCGCTGCTCGAAATAACAAACAGAATGAACGTTCCATTGGCGGTAAAAGTAGCGAGTAACGAGGGAAAAATGCAATGAAAAATAAGAGTTGGTGAAGCGATAAATGCTGACATACAAAAATGTTCTGTACCTGTTCTGCGGCATGATGCTGTTCTCCTCGTCGCTGGACATTTGATTGTGACGCGAGAGGTTGTGCCGCTGGCGTTGCTCGTGCTGGTCCTGCTCCTGCACCGCCCGGAGAGATGGGCGGCGGCGAGGGCGGCGTGCGATGGTGCGACGAAGAGAAGCCATCGGAGTCGGGATGCTGCGGTTGGGGTGTGCTGCCCGCATCCACGTCCACATCGTTCTGGTTCTGGTTGCTCTGCGGATTGGTTGGCGTCGAGGCGCTGGGCGAGATGTTGCAGGCTCCCAGGAACATCGGAAGTGAATTCTGAATTATGGAGAGGAATTGCTTGATTGCTGAAAAGCCACGCTAAGATAATCTAATCGGGGGAACTGAACTCGAGTGTCGCCGCGGGACAACAGCAACAGCAAAAAGACGTTTGGCTATACGTGGGGGCTGGCCCCAGCACTCACCTTCCGTGCGCCAGATGTACCGCGTGAGGGACCAGGGCGTACGCATATCCTGCGGATGACTGGGCTCAATATAGTGCTTCATTTCGCGCAGGGCCTGGAGGGTGAGCGTAGAGAAGCAGGCGGCCAGGGAGCCGGCACAGGCATTTTGGGTGGTCGTCAGCTGGCTGGTTGTCTCCTTATTGACCATGAAAGCGACAAACTTCTGGCATCCTCCGTAGGCGGCAAAGAGAACCGAATTCTCGGCCACATTGGCCACCACGGCGGGCAGGGAGCCCGCATAGAGGCCCCGGAATATACCATCCTTTCGATACGTGCTCACGAAACAGTCGAACATTCCTTTGTAGGCCTCCGGGAAGGTCTGCAGCTTCACCTTGACAGTGTCCAGCGGCTGCGAGACGTACACCTGTGCGGCCCCGCCTAAGAGATCAAGGGGAGTTGATATTGGTCCCATGGTGTCGGCAGAGCTGTGTGTATACGCACCCAAAGAGCCCGCCAGGAAGTCGATGAGCCCCTCCACAAAGTTGATGTTGTTCCCGGTTCCGCCTCCATGCATGTCGAGGCGCCGTACGAGTCTTAGGAATTTGCCGAATATGAATAGGAGGCCGTCACGCACGGCTTCGAGCGTCGAGAGTGGACTGAGCTTCCGACGCTCGTTCTCGCTCTGCTGGCTCTCCTCCTCGGCCTCGGCCTCCAGCACCGCCTGCTCGTATGCCTCGAGCAGTTCATCGGGGGCCCCTATCAGCACGGAGCTGCCCACTCGGCTGGAGCCGACTCGCGGCCGTGTCAGCGTTGACGCTGGTTGCTCATCATCGTTCTTGGGGGCAGGCTTTGGCTCTCGCGGTGCTTGTCTCTTCAGGAATTTCTCTTCGGGTGTCGGGGGTAGGAGCGGTGTTGGTGGCTCCGTTGGATCTTCTCTCTTACCGATTTGCCTTGACCCCCTGCCCGCGTAAAATGTTTCGGGCTGTGGTTTCTCTTCGGGTCTTGTGCTCTTCTTTTCTGACATGACAGTGCTCTTAGTCTGCTGCTGGATGTTGCTTTCTTCTCTCTTTATTGCTGTTTACTGAAATTCGTCATCATCAAACGATCGGCTGCTCTTCCGATCGTTATCGTTCGTGTCCGGTCTGTGGCTGTTGCTGTTGGTGTTGGTGTTGTGTGGGTCTGTTGCTTATTCTCTTTGTCTGTTATTGAACGCGCTCTGATAACTTCGAGCTTTCTGTTATGTCTTCTTTTCCAGCGATAGCTGTTTTGTTCGCTTTTTCAGCGGTATTTGTTATGTCTGCTTCTTCAGAGGTAGCTGTTATTTTCGCGTTTCCGCCGGTAGCTGTTATATCTGCTTTTACAGCGGGGGCTGTTAAATCTGCCTTTGCAGCGGGTGTTGCTATATCTGCTTTTACAGCGGCCGTTGTTATATCTGCTTTTACAGCGGACGCTGTTATGGCGGCGTTTGCAGTGGGGACTGTTATGCCCGTTTTTACAGCGGAGGCTGTTATATCTTCGTTTACAGTGGGATCTGTTATGTCGGCTTTTACACAGGTAGCTGCTATGTCCGCGTTTCCAGTGGTGACTGCTGTGTTAGCTGTTTCTATTTCTGTTACTTCCACTGTTCCAGGCACTGTTAACTCCAACGTTTCAGGCGTCACTGTTGGTCGCTGTGTCTCAGCAAATTGTTCCAAATTCTTAGAAGTTTCCAATCGACTTATTTCAGCTGCTACTAAGTTCGAGTTTTTAAACAAATTTACAACTTGTGTCGTGGGCAAGGGGATACTACTTTCGGGCACTGGCAGTGGGGCTTGCTCTGCTTCAATACTCCCGAGCCGTAATGCGGTGGTTAGCTTAGCTTTAGCACAACCTTCCGACCAATCAATTGGATGCTTTGGATACTGGCCAACTGATGCGTTCAGGTAGCGGTTCAGTAGCGAATCCGATGCTTTTGCAACCACCGCTTCTTCTTCAGTTATGTTCTGTTCTTGTTGATCAAAATGGCTTGCAGCTAATTTCAATGACGCTAGTTGGGCGCTGCCACACGGACTTGACGGGGTACTGCTGTCGGTTACGGGTGCTAGGGGCTGCTCTTCTGGTGCCACAATACTCCGGAACCGTAGGGCGGTGGTTAGCTTAGCTTTAGCACAACCTTCCGACCAATCAATTGGATGCTTTGGATACTGGTCAACTGATGCGTTCAGGTAGCGGGCCAGTAGCGAATTCGCTGCTTTTGTAGCTTCTGCTTCTGCTTCTGCTTCTTCTTCAGTCAACTGTTCCTCGGCCTCGGCCGCAGGAGCTTGTCGATCGAATGTGCTTGCAGTCAATTTCAATGGTTGTATGGGCTCGTTACCAGACGCTGTGCTGGACTTTTTGTCATATGGAGAGGTGAACAATGGATTCAGGGTTCGCAGCAGTGGCCGCGGGGCACGAGGTCCTGGCTTGGGTGCGGCTGGTGGCCGACCAAAAATCTTTGCGATATTGGAACGTACCTTTTTCGATGCCAAACCAGTCACAATCGCCGTCACGCCCACAATGCCCACTAGGCCCACAACGCCCTCCGTTAGTGTGTCCTCGCGTGTGTGTCTTTCGTTGGGATCCCAAACTTTCTGCTTTCGATTGTACTCGTAATCCTTACTCATTTTTGGGAACCGAAAATTTGGTTTTGAAATAATATGCGCACTTTGTATATTTGTATGTGTCTGCTACGATGCCAAAAAGGTGTCTAGAAAAACTGCCTTCTGTCAGAATAAAATTCTTATCGATTGAAATGCCTTTCAATGTACGTTTTTTGTTGTTTTTTTTTATTATTAATAATCGATAATTTGATTACGCCATATGTATATATATGTCTGTGTGTATATATATATATATATATATATCATTTCGATCAGCGTTTTCAGTGTGTGTGTGTTTTTTTTTTTTTTTTTTTTTTTTTTTTTTTTTTTTTTTTTTGTTGTTGTGTGACTACAGGAAAGCTTCATGCCGACTCAGCCGAAGCCGAAGTGAGGGACTCTAACCGCTCTAAAACCAACCACACCTATCCCGGATCCCGGCGGTACTGTCGCGAGATATTACTTCGCCGGGGGGAGATGCCCGTAGGGCTCTTCTCTTAACAATCTCCTTTATCCTTTATCTCCTAGCATTGCGTGCTCTTTCTTCGCGACGCAGTTTGGTAACCATAGTTACGGCCATGAATCTAATCGCGGCCCAGTTTCCTTCCGACTCCAGCAGGCATTCTGCCAGGTTTGTCACCGCTGGCATTCTTCCAAGCTTGTTGCTTAGATCCTCTCGTTCTTGCCGAAATCTTGGACACTCGAAGAAGCAGTGCTCTGCGTCTTCGATGACCCCTGCGCAGACCACGCAGAAGGGGTCGTCCTCGTGCTTAAACCTATGCAGGTAGGCTTTAAAGCAACCGTGTCCTGTCAGCAGTTGTGTCAGGTGATACTCCACTTGTCCATGGCTACGGTTCAGCCAACTCTTCAGGTCTGGGATTAGCCTATGGGTCCATCGCCCTTTGCTGCTGTTATCCCACGAATCTTGCCATTGCAGGATTGTGCGCTGCCTTAAGGCACCTCTGGTGTCCTGGTCCGTAGTCCCCAGGGTTCGCTGTGCCCTGATTCCTGCGGCTTCTCTTGCCAGCAGATGGATGGGAATCATTCCTGCTACCACAAGTGCGGCGTCTTGGGATACCGTTCTGAATGCGCAACACACCCTCAGGGCACACAGCCTCTGGACTGCGTTGCATTCTCGGGCATATGTTTTATGCTTCATTGCATCAACCCATATTGGTGCCGCGTACATTAGCGTTGAGCCAACTACGCTCGCTAGTAGCTTTCGCCTTGGCTGTTTCGGGCCTCCGGTGTTGGCCATGATGCGGAATAGGGCCACTGCCGTCTTTCCTGCTTTGCTGCTTGCATACGCCATGTGATGCTTGAAGCTGAGTCTGTGGTCAATCATGACCCCCAGGTACTTCAGGCTTGGACTGGAGCTAATAGTGCAGTCTCCTACTCGGATCGTGGCCGTCTCCACTACTTTCCTGCTGCTTATGAGCACCGCCTCCGTTTTGTGGGTGGCTAATGCGAGATCCCTCCCTGATAGCCATGTTCTGGCTCTCTCTACCGCGTCGTTGCAGATTTCTTCCGCCGCTTCTTTCTGTTTTGCCACTACGACTATTGCTATGTCGTCGGCAAAGCCTATCACCGTTGCGCCCATTGGCATATCCATCTTGAGGATTCCATCATACATGATGTTCCACAGCAGCGGGCCGAGGACCGATCCTTGGGGAACTCCTCCAGTGATTTGGTGCTCACGTGTCCCCTTATCCGTCTCATATATGAGCAATCGGTCTCTTAGGTAGTCCGCGATGATATTCTGCAGATACGGCGGTACTTGAAAGTTTCTCAGTTCTTCTAGTATGTGATCCCAATTGGCAGAGTTGAATGCATTTTGGACATCGAGTGTTGCCACTATGCAATACTCTTTGGTCCCGTACATCCACCGGGTGCCATCGATAGCTCGCTTTGCTATCTCACATACCTCGCCGATTGCGTCCACCGTGGACCTGCCTTTGCGAAACCCGTGCTGTCTCGGTGAGAGCTGACGCGTTACTGCCTTCTCCAGCCTGGTGTGGATTATGCGCTCGAGGATCTTACCCACTGTGTCGAGCATGCAGAGTGGTCTATAGGATGATGGCTCCTCGGTCGGCTTGTTCCCCTTGGGTAAGAGGACTAGCCGCTGTCGCTTCCATGGTCTGGGGAAGGTCCCTTCGGACATGCACGCATTGAATAAATCCACGTACATTTGTGGATTGGTCTCAATAGCCGTGCGGAGAACGGCATTTGGGACCCCATCAGGTCCTGGTGCTTTGCCGTTCTTTATCCGTTGTAGAGCTTCGAGGACTTCTGCTCCCGTGGTGGCTTCTATTTCAGGTGGCGGTATTCTATCCATCACCCTCTGGCCTGCCACTTTCTCTGGGAATAGGGTTTCTACTATGTTAACCAGCAGATCTGCACACATTGGCGGCGGGGGACTGAACACTCGCAGTCTCTTCATTACCAGCCTGTATGCGTAGCCCCAAGGGTTCGCATCTGCGTCATCGCAGAGCTTTTCGAAGCATTTGCGCTTGGCATCTTTGATCTGCCTCTTCAAGCAGCGTCTGCTCAGTGTGTGTGTGTGGGTGTGTCTGTCTGTTTTTGTGGATATACAATTCTTGCATTAATATTATTATCATTGTTTTTGGGTTTTTTTCTTGTTTTTTTTGGTATGTGTTTTGTATATCGTTTCAGTTTTTTTTTAATATTTTGTTGGTTTATGTTTTTTTCGGGTTTTTTGTTCTTTTGCCTTATCGCATTCTACGGCTTATATAAATTTAATAATTTACATGAAATTATAACATATGTATTTACTCGCTATACCATACCATTTAGTACATTTATTATTATTATTATTATACCCGATACTCAAAATGAGTATTGGGGTATATTAGATTTGTGGTAAAAGTGGATGTGTGTAACGTCCAGAAGGAATCGTTTCCGACCCCATAAAGTATATATATTCTTGATCAGCATCAATAGCCGAGTCGATTGAGCCATGTCTGTCTGTCCGTCTGTCCGTCCGTCCGTCTGTCCGTCTGTCCGTCTGTCCGTCCCCTTCAGCGCCTAATGCTCAAAGACTATAAGAGCTAGAGCAACGATGTTTTGGATCCAGACTTCTGTGATATGTCACTGCTCCAAAAATATTTCAAAACTTTGCCCCGCCCACTTCCGCCCCCACAAAGGGCGAAAATCTGTGGCATCCACAATTTTGACGATACGAGACGATTCTACGCAGAATCGTAGAAGATGACTATATCTTCTAGAGTGCAAAATCTGAACCAGATCGTATAATTATTACAGCCAGAATCACGAAAACAATTTCACTCTTTCTCGCTCTGTCTCACTCTAACACACAGGTTTCATGGTCGGTTTTGCCAATTGCAAAATATGAGTTCAAGGATCTCAGAACCTATAAAAGCCAGAGCAACCAAATTTGGTATCCACACTCCTGTGATATCGGACCTTGACCGTTTCCTGTCCAAATTTCGCCACACCCCCTTCCGCCCCCGCAAAGGACGAAAATCTGAGGCAACCACAAATCTCAGAGACTATTAAGGCTAGAGTAACCAAATTTGGTATACACACTCCTTTAAGATGTCACTATAAAACGTATATCTCAGAATTTCGCCCCACCCCCATCCGCCCCCACAAAGGACGAAAATCTGTTGCATCCACAATATTGCAGATTTGAGAAAACTAAAAACGCAGAATCATAGATAATAACCATATCTATCAGGTTGCTGAATCTGGATCAGATCAGATCATTTTCATAGCCAAAAGGAGCAAATCAATTTGCACTGGCTACGCAGCGCCCGACGTCACGCTCAGACTGATTTTCTGTCTCTCTCGCACGCACTCTTTGTCGTGTCGTTAAATATTAGCGGCGTCTGCCGGAGGCGAGCCATACTGACTTAGTATCGGGTATAACCGTAGAGTTGCGGTGTCCGCAGCAACTCACAACGTTCCCCCTCGTTTTTATTATATATATATATATATGCTTGTATATATAGCCATTTAGCCCTCATTGTCTGACTAGAATCGCTGAAACGCCATTATCCACAATATTTATAATATAATAGTAAAAAAAAAACAATAACAAGAAAAAAAATAGAGAGACACACACACTCGTTAGGTTTTCGAGACGCCAATTGCGATCTTCGAGCACATGCCATTGAGTGTGGGATGATGCTTGAGCTAGGTTCCTGATCGGTCATGTATCGGTATGTCTATACACTATCCATATATATATATATATATTCATTCGCTGAGTTTGCAGGGGATAATGAGGGTAATAAAGGTCCTCTTGCCGAATCTAGAGAGGAGAAACTCTGCCCACACTTTGTACTCGTTAATACGCTTTACTTTACTCGTTTCTCATGGTGTAAAAATATTATTCATTATCATTATTATTACTATTATTATTTAGCATGTTTAGCACTTTTATCGTCTTTTTCTTTTGTCATCTTTTCTTTTTGTTCCTATACAAACTCAGCATGAAATTTGCTTTTAAAAAAATTCTCACTGCAGGCTTCCTTTTCATATGGGTTTCATTCGCTTTTTCCACTTTCGATTTATATTTACCATACATACTATATTTATATATATTTATAATATTTATTTTATGCTTCCTATACAACTATACATATTTGTGTGTGTGTTAAAATCAGATTTGGGAAACACACACAATTCTAAACAGATCTAAACACTTAAAAAGATTGGCACGCTTTGAAATCGGAGCTCGAACGGATGATGGGCATGGAGATCTTCGGAGGAGAATATGGAATATATGGAGGAACTAAAGTTATTGTTGCGCTTCAAATTGAACTACGTGAAATGGAGCTCCCACTCCCACTCCCGCTTCCGCTTCCGCTCCTACAGATCCCTTCTAGGTATTGCACTCTTGTCACGGCCCCAGGATATAGTCATAGTTTACCCGTCCCCTCCCTCACGCCTCTAGTAGTAGGCGGGGAACGGGTGATAGTTAGACGGATTCGAGGCATGATGATTGGCCGACGGCAGCACAGGCGGCGGTCGTACGCCCGGATGGTAGTTGCTCGATGCCACCTGGTGGTAGGCCCCAAAGCTGCGGGCCATGTGCCGATTCTGGGCCACTGCCGCCGCCGACTCGCCCAGGAGGCGGGACTGGTCTGCTGTGCCCAGCAGGCGATTGTTCTGTTCCATCAGCAGATGGGCGGTGGGGTCGACCAGCAGGCGGTGCTGGTCGGCGGCATTTGAGGCGGCCAGAATTCGATGCTGCTCCACCGTAGAGAGCAGGCGGTGATGCTCGAGACTGTCGCGGCTCTGGTGCTGCATCTGCGAGGAGAGGAACGACCGATTGTTGCCCACGGCCATGTTGGCCGTGTTCGGTGTGAGGTCCAGCGAGGCCATTCGCAGCATGTCGTGATGCGGATGGTTGTAGGGCAGCTGTGGCGGCGACGACACCACATAGTTGGCCGTGCGGCTCAGGTCCACGGAGGTGGTCTGGTCGTGCTCCTGCTCGCCCAGCTGCTCGCTCAGCATGTTGTGCATGGCCGCCGCCGACTGGTGTTGCTGCATGGCCAGCTGGCTGCCGTGTCCGTGCTCCTGCTGGTGCACCACCGATGCACCCGTTGCCTGCTGTGCCTGCGCCTGGGCCTGGGCCTGCGCCTGCTGGCTCTGCTCCCTGTCCGACAGAATGTCGTAGATGTGGTGATGGTAGCGACTGCTTGGCAGCTGGAAGTTGTGGTGATAGTTGCTCGACGCATTCGATCTCGAGCTCATGTCCAGGCCCTGCAGATCGGACAGATCGTTGGCCGCACTCGCCGCCACGGCAGCAGCCGCCGCCGCACTCGCCGCATTGCTGTTGCTGCTCTGGCGATACTCCGCCGGCGAGTCGAGCTCCTGGCTGTTGTACTTCAGGTTGCTGGCCATGCTCTCGTACTTGGAGTACATGAGATCGATCTGCGACTGGGGGAACTTCATGCGCATATCCTGGCCCGCGCTGCTGGAAATAACAAACAGAATGAACGTTCCATTAGCGGTAAAAGTAGCGAGTAACGAGGGAAAAATGCAATGAAAAATAAGAGTTGGTGAAGCGATAAATGCTGACATACAAAAATGTTCTGTACCTGTTCTGCGGCATGATGCTGTTCTCCTCGTCGCTGGACATTTGATTGTGACGCGAGAGGTTGTGCCGCTGGCGTTGCTCGTGCTGGTCCTGCTCCTGCACCGCCCGGAGAGATGGGCGGCGGCGAGGGCGGCGGCGAGGGCGGCGGCGAGGGCGGCGTGCGATGGTGCGACGAAGAGAAGCCATCGGAGTCGGGATGCTGCGGTCGGGGTGTGCTGCCCGCATCCACGTCCACATCGTTCTGGTTCTGGTTGCTCTGCGGATTGGTTGGCGTCGAGGCGCTGGGCGAGATGTTGCAGGCTCCCTGGAACATCGGAAGTGAATTCTGAATTATGGAGAGGAATTGCTTGATTGCTGAAAAGCCACGCTAAGATAATCTAATCGGGGGAACTGAACTCGAGTGTCGCCGCGGGACAACAGCAACAGCAAAAAGACGTTTGGCTATACGTGGGGGCTGGCCCCAGCACTCACCTTCCGTGCGCCAGATGTACCGCGTGAGGGACCAGGGCGTACGCATATCCTGCGGATGCCTGGGCTCAATATAGTGCTTCATTTCGCGCAGGGCCTGGAGCTTGCATTTGATCAGCTCCGTGGGGCAGAGGGTGAGGGTGGAGAAGCAGGCGGCCAGGGAGCCGGCACAGGCATTTTGGGTGGTCGTCAGCTGGCTGGTTGTCTCCTTATTGACCATGAAAGCGACAAACTTCTGGCATCCTCCGTAGGCGGCAAAGAGAACCGAATTCTCGGCCACATTGGCCACCACGGCGGGCAGGGAGCCCGCATAGAGGCCCCGGAATATACCATCCGTTCGATACGTGCTCACGAAACAGTCGAACAATCCTTTGTAGGCCTCCGGGAAGGTCTGCAGCTTCACCTTGACAGTGTCCAGCGGCTGCGAGACGTACACCTGTGCGGCCCCGCCTAAGAGATCAAGGGGAGTTGATATTGGTCCCATGGTGTCGGCAGAGCTGTGTGTATACGCACCCAAAGAGCCCGCCAGGAAGTCGATGAGCCCCTCCACAAAGTTGATGTTGTTCCCGGTTCCGCCTCCATGCATGTCGAGGCGCCGTACGAGTCTTAGGAATTTGCCGAATATGAATAGGAGGCCGTCACGCACGGCTTCGAGCGTCGAGAGTGGACTGAGCTTCCGACGCTCGTTCTCGCTCTGCTGGCTCTCCTCCTCGGCCTCGGCCTCCAGCACCGCCTGCTCGTATGCCTCGAGCAGTTCATCGGGGGCCCCTATCAGCACGGAGCTGCCCACTCGGCTGGAGCCGACTCGCGGCCGTGTCAGCGTTGACGCTGGTTGCTCATCATCGTTCTTGGGGGCAGGCTTTGGCTCTCGCGGTGCTTGTCTCTTCAGGAATTTCTCTTCGGGTGTCGGGGGTAGGAGCGGTGTTGGTGGCTCCGTTGGATCTTCTCTCTTACCGATTTGCCTTGACCCCCTGCCCGCGTAAAATGTTTCGGGCTGTGGTTTCTCTTCGGGTCTTGTGCTCTTCTTGTCTGACATGACAGTGCTCTTAGTCTGCTGCTGGATGTTGCTTTCTTCTCTCTTTATTGCTGTTTACTGAAATTCGTCATCATCAAACGATCGGCTGCTCTTCCGATCGTTGTCGTTCGTGTCCGGTCTGTGGCTGTTGGTGTTGGTGTTGGTGTTGTGTGGGTCTGTTGCTTATTCTCTTTGTCTGTTATTGAACGCGCTCTGATAACTTCGAGCTTTCTGTTATGTCTTCTTTTCCAGCGATAGTTGTTTTGTTCGCTTTTTCAGCGGTATTTGTTATGTCTGCTTCTTCAGAGGTAGCTGTTATTTTCGCGTTTCCGCCGGTAGCTGTTATATCTGCTTTTACAGCGGGGGCTGTTAAATCTGCCTTTGCAGCGGGTGTTGCTATATCTGCTTTTACAGCGGCCGTTGTTATATCTGCTTTTACAGCGGACGCTGTTATGGCGGCGTTTGCAGTGGGGACTGTTATGCCCGTTTTTACAGCGGAGGCTGTTATATCTTCGTTTACAGTGGGATCTGTTATGTCGGCTTTTACACAGGTAGCTGCTATGTCCGCGTTTCCAGTGGTGACTGCTGTGTTAGCTGTTTCTATTTCTGTTACTTCCACTGTTCCAGGCACTGTTAACTCCAACGTTTCAGGCGTCACTGTTGGTCGCTGTGTCTCAGCAAATTGTTCCAAATTCTTAGAAGTTTCCAATCGACTTATTTCAGCTGCTACTAAGTTCGAGTTTTTAAACAAATTTACAACTTGTGTCGTGGGCAAGGGGATACTACTTTCGGGCACTGGCAGTGGGGCTTGCTCTGCTTCAATACTCCCGAGCCGTAATGCGGTGGTTAGCTTTGCTTTAGCACAACCTTCCGACCAATCAATTGGATGCTTTGGATACTGGCCAACTGATGCGTTCAGGTAGCGGTTCAGTAGCGAATCCGATGCTTTTGCAACCACCGCTTCTTCTTCAGTTATGTTCTGTTCTTGTTGATCAAAATGGCTTGCAGCTAATTTCAATGACGCTAGTTGGGCGCTGCCACACGGACTTGACGGGGTACTGCTGTCGGTTACGGGTGCTAGGGGCTGCTCTTCTGGTGCCACAATACTCCGGAACCGTAGGGCGGTGGTTAGCTTAGCTTTAGCACAACCTTCCGACCAATCAATTGGATGCTTTGGATACTGGTCAACTGATGCGTTCAGGTAGCGGGCCAGTAGCGAATTCGCTGCTTTTGTAGCTTCTGCTTCTGCTTCTGCTTCTTCTTCAGTCAACTGTTCCTCGGCCTCGGCCGCAGGAGCTTGTCGATCGAATGTGCTTGCAGTCAATTTCAATGGTTGTATGGGCTCGTTACCAGACGCTGTGCTGGACTTTTTGTCATATGGAGAGGTGCACAATGGATTCAGGGTTCGCAGCAGTGGCCGCGGGGCACGAGGTCCTGGCTTGGGTGCGGCTGGTGGCCGACCAAAAATCTTTGCGATATTGGAACGTACCTTTTTAGATGCCAAACCAGTCACAATCGCCGTCACGCCCACAATGCCCACTAGGCCCACAACGCCCTCCGTTAGTGTGTCCTCGCGTGTGTGTCTTTCGTTGGGATCCCAAACTTTCTGCTTTCGATTGTACTCGTAATCCTTACTCATTTTTGGGAACCGAAAATTTGGTTTTGAAATAATATGCGCACTTTGTATATTTGTATGTGTCTGCTACGATGCCAAAAAGGTGTCTAGAAAAACTGCCTTCTGTCAGAATAAAATTCTTATCGATTGAAATGCCTTTCAATGTACGTTTTTTGTTGTTTTTTTTTATTATTAATAATCGATAATTTGATTACGCCATATGTATATATATGTCTGTGTGTATATATATATATATATATATATATCATTTCGATCAGCGTTTTCAGTGTGTGTGTGTTTGTGTGGGTGTGTCTGTCTGTTTTTGTGGATATACAATTCTTGCATTAATATTATTATCATTGTTTTTGGGTTTTTTCTTGTTTTTTTTGGTATGTGTTTTGTATATCGTTTCAGTTTTTTTTAATATTTTGTTGGTTTATGTTTTTTTCCGGCTTTTTGTTCTTTTGCCTTATCGCATTCTGCGGCTTATATAAATTTAATAATTTACATGAAATTATAACATATGTATTTACTCGCTATACCATACCATTTAGTACATTTATTATTATTATTATTTTTATTATATATATATATATATGTTTGTATATATAGCCATTTAGCCCCCATTGTCTGACTAGAATCGCTGAAACGCCATTATCCACAATATTTATAATATAATAGTAAAAAAAAAACAATAACAAGAAAAAAAATAGAGAGACACACACACTCGTTAGGTTTTCGAGACGCCAATTGCGATCTTCGAGCACATGCCATTGAGTGTGGGATGATGCTTGAGCTAGGTTCCTGATCGGTCATGTATCGGTATGTCTATACACTATCCATATATATATATATATTCATTCGCTGAGTTTGCAGGGGATAATGAGGGTAATAAAGGTCCTCTTGCCGAATCTAGAGAGGAGAAACTCTGCCCACACTTTGTACTCGTTAATACGCTTTACTTTACTCGTTTCTCATGGTGTAAAAATATTATTCATTATCATTATTATTACTATTATTATTTAGCATGTTTAGCACTTTTATCGTCTTTTTCTTTTGTCATCTTTTCTTTTTGTTCCTATACAAACTCAGCATGAAATTTGCTTTTAAAAAAATTCTCACTGCAGGCTTCCTTTTCATATGGGTTTCATTCGCTTTTTCCACTTTCGATTTATATTTACCATACATACTATATTTATATATATTTATAATATTTATTTTATGCTTCCTATACAACTATACATATTTGTGTGTGTGTTTTGTGTGTGTGTTAAAATCAGATTTGGGAAACACACACAATTCTAAACAGATCTAAACACTTAAAAAGATTGGCACGCTTTGAAATCGGAGCTCGAACGGATGATGGGCATGGAGATCTTCGGAGGAGAATATGGAATATATGGAGGAACTAAAGTTATTGTTGCGCTTCAAATTGAACTACGTGAAATGGAGCTCCCACTCCCACTCCCGCTTCCGCTTCCGCTCCTACAGATCCCTTCTAGGTATTGCACTCTTGTCACGGCCCCAGGATATAGTCATAGTCTACCCGTCCCCTCCCTCACGCCTCTAGTAGTAGGCGGGGAACGGGTGATAGTTAGACGGATTCGAGGCATGATGATTGGCCGACGGCAGCACAGGCGGCGGTCGTACGCCCGGATGGTAGTTGCTCGATGCCACCTGGTGGTAGGCCCCAAAGCTGCGGGCCATGTGCCGATTCTGGGCCACTGCCGCCGCCGACTCGCCCAGGAGGCGGGACTGGTCTGCTGTGCCCAGCAGGCGATTGTTCTGTTCCATCAGCAGATGGGCGGTGGGGTCGACCAGCAGGCGGTGCTGGTCGGCGGCATTTGAGGCGGCCAGAATTCGATGCTGCTCCACCGTAGAGAGCAGGCGGTGATGCTCGAGACTGTCGCGGCTCTGGTGCTGCATCTGCGAGGAGAGGAACGACCGATTGTTGCCCACGGCCATGTTGGCCGTGTTCGGTGTGAGGTCCAGCGAGGCCATTCGCAGCATGTCGTGATGCGGATGGTTGTAGGGCAGCTGTGGCGGCGACGACACCACATAGTTGGCCGTGCGGCTCAGGTCCACGGAGGTGGTCTGGTCGTGCTCCTGCTCGCCCAGCTGCTCGCTCAGCATGTTGTGCATGGCCGCCGCCGACTGGTGTTGCTGCATGGCCAGCTGGCTGCCGTGTCCGTGCTCCTGCTGGTGCACCACCGATGCACCCGTTGCCTGCTGTGCCTGCGCCTGGGCCTGGGCCTGCGCCTGCTGGCTCTGCTCCCTGTCCGACAGAATGTCGTAGATGTGGTGATGGTAGCGACTGCTTGGCAGCTGGAAGTTGTGGTGATAGTTGCTCGACGCATTCGATCTTGAGCTCATGTCCAGGCCCTGCAGATCGGACAGATCGTTGGCCGCACTCGCCGCCACGGCAGCAGCCGCCGCCGCACTCGCCGCATTGCTGTTGCTGCTCTGGCGATACTCCGCCGGCGAGTCGAGCTCCTGGCTGTTGTACTTCAGGTTGCTGGCCATGCTCTCGTACTTGGAGTACATGAGATCGATCTGCGACTGGGGGAACTTCATGCGCATATCCTGGCCCGCGCTGCTGGAAATAACAAACAGAATGAACGTTCCATTGGCGGTAAAAGTAGCGAGTAGCGAGGGAAAAATGCAATGAAAAATAAGAGTTGGTGAAGCGATAAATGCTGACATACAAAAATGTTCTGTACCTGTTCTGCGGCATGATGCTGTTCTCCTCGTCGCTGGACATTTGATTGTGACGCGAGAGGTTGTGCCGCTGGCGTTGCTCGTGCTGGTCCTGCTCCTGCACCGCCCGCTTGTGGCGCATCATGTCCCCGTTGAAGTTGTAGCGCGGAATGCTAGGGGAGGAGGCCGGCGAGATGAGCTCGTGCTCCGGATATGTGCTGCCCACGCTCGACGCATTGCGTCGCTGTGGCTGCAGGGCAGGCAGCGGGGACGAGGCTGACATGCTGTTGGCCCCACCGCCGGCTCCACCACCACCGCCGCCTCCGCCAGCACTGGAGCTGCCCGCTGGCGTGCTATTGGACCCTGGACCACCAGCACCATTCCCAGAGCCGAACATGCCACCGTAGTCCCGGCCCGGAGAGATGGGCGGCGGCGAGGGCGGCGTGCGATGGTGCGACGAAGAGAAGCCATCGGAGTCGGGATGCTGCGGTCGGGGTGTGCTGCCCGCATCCACGTCCACATCGTTCTGGTTCTGGTTGCTCTGCGGATTGGTTGGCGTCGAGGCGCTGGGCGAGATGTTGCAGGCTCCCTGGAACATCGGAAGTGGCGGTATTTGCATGGGGAAGCTGCCCAAGTTCTTCATCATCTTCAGCTCGTTCTCCAGGTTGTCCATGGCTCCCCCAATGCCCGTTCCATTGGCGGCGCTCGACGATCCTCCACTGCTACCACCACCGCCGCCGCCGCCGCCATTAGGTCCGCCCACTCCGCCGCCGGCGCTGCCAGCCCCAAAGCGCTGGGCCTCGGCGTCCACATGGGCGCTCATGGGACTGTCGCTGTTGATGTGGTTATCGGTGGGTACCTATATAGAGGGGAGATTCAAAGATTAAATATAATTTCTAGTCTTAAATAGCAAAACAACTATTAAATATTAAATATACATATATGATGCATACTAGGAGCCAGCCCCCGGTTCACTCGCTTCTCTCGTTCGGCTTGCTCACTCGTTCTCGTTTGGCTTACTCTCTCGTCCTCGTTCGGCCTACTCTCTCGTTCTCGTTCGTTCGTTAGACCTTCGATGTCTTCTCAATTTTCCCCTCCAATATAATCCATAATATTTATTCTCTATAATACATCTATAATCTGCTTGGGATGCATCGGGATGATACCTGTTCTGCAGCTCACTCTCTTTTTACCTTCTATAATCTTTATTATATATCTAAGATAAATCCCATTAGAATGCATGGAGACGATAGCTATTCTAGTCTTGAGGTAGCAAGAAATTCTGCTGGACTGCACTTGTTTTGAATAGTATTGAGAATTCACCTTCAGGTCGCTGCTCTCGCTGTCAATCATATTGCCAACGGAGTTGAGGGCCGCCTCCACCAGCATGCTGGCGGACGAGGAGCCCCCGCCCACGCCCACGCCCACTCCGGCTCCGGTCAGTCTTGCGTTCGCGTTGTTGTAGAAGGAGCTCATGAAGGACTGGGGATGCGCCAGGGAGTTCATCTGCATTTGGCCGGGGCCGTCGCCGGTGGAGGTTACCGATCCGCCGCCAGTGGCCGGACCCGTGGGAGTATGGCCGCCACTGGCTCCGCCGCCGCCACCTGGCCCACCCGATCCGCCCGTTCCACCATTGGCCGCCGCATTGTGATGGTACTGGGACATGGCAGCCGCTGCAGCGGCTGCCGCGGCCGCATTGTTGTTGGCCGACTCGACGACATCCAGGAAGGAGCTGTTCTCGTCCTCCTCCCGGCTATGGGCGCTGTGCTGCTGCTGCTGGTGTTGGTGCTGATGCTGGTGGGTGTGGGCATGGGCATGAGCATGGGCGTGGGCGTGACTGGCGCTGGCCGTGCTCATGAGGCGGGCGAGGAAGTCACGGTTCTGGCCGAGCAGTTTGCTGTGCTCGTCCACGGAACTGGGGGGCACCGCAAAGCCGAGGTCCTGGCCGGGACCGGCGTTGCCGGGGAGCTGGCCAGAGCCCGGTCCGGACTCGTTGCCGGGCACGTCGCTGGTCACGTCGCCCAGATGCCGGTCATCGGCACCGATCCACTTTTTGCTGCCCTTGGTAACAACCAGATTCTGTCCGAGGGCCACGGCGTTCATGGCCGCCGCATGGCGGTACGAGGCACTGGGATCCCCGTGGGGCTGCTGCTGCTGCTGTCCCCCTGCCCCCTGCTGCGAGTGCTGGTGGCTGTGGGCGTGGCTGTGGGCATGGGCATGGGCATGGGCGTGATGCGGATGGGCATGCGAGTGGGAGTGCGGATGCGTATGCGGATGGGAGTGTGACTGCGAGTGCGAGTGCGGATGGGCGCCGTGCGGATGATGCTGCTGATGGGGATGGCTACCGCCGGGCGGATGGTTGGCCGAGCTGCCATCTTCCTCCTCCTCGTCATCGTCATCCTCATCGTCCATGCCCACGCCAACGCCCATGTGGCCGACCATCATGTGCCCCAGCTTGGCGGGATCGTCCCCGGCCCCCGCCATCGCCGAGACGGCCGCGGCGGCGGCCACCACCTGCTGCACCTGCTGTTGTGCACTCAGCCGCTGTGCGGTGGTGGTCAGGAATGACTCGACCAGGCTGAGCTGGGCGTTCTGCTTGCGGCGGACCTGTTCCAGACGGACCTGCTCCGCCTCCTCCTCGTCGTCGTCGGGATCGGCCCCGTGCAGCTGTTGCTGTTGCTGCTGCTGCTGCTGGTGGGGCAAGGCGTGGGCGTGCAGGTGGTGCGGGTGGTACTGGGGAGGCGGCTGCTGTTGCTGCTGCTGCTGCTGCTGGTGGGAGGACTGCTCGTGATGCAGTTGCGCCTGCTGCTGCTGCTGGTGTTGCTGCAGCGGCTGGTGCTGCAGTGCCGCCTGTTGCTGCAGCGGCTGGTGGTGGAGTTGTTGCTGCTGAACGTGCTGCTGCTGCTGCTGTTGTTGCTGAAGCTGTTGCTGCTGCTGCTGCAGCTGCGCCTGCTGCTGCTGGAGGGCCGCCTGTTGCTGCTGCTGTTGGGCAGCCGTAGAATTGGCCGGCTCCTTCTTCCGCTTCCGCTTGCGGCCACCTGCGACGGGTGGCAGCGAGACGGTGGCCGAGGGTGTAGCCACTGGGACAGGGACCGGCACCTTCTCGCCAAAGATGCTGGAGATCTTGGAGCTGAGCAGCGATAGATTCGGCTCGTTGCGGCACAGATCCTTGATGGACTTGCCGCTCTTCTTGATGGCCTCGAAGATGTTGTCGTCGCTGAACTCCGTGTCGCTCTGCATCGAGCTGCTGAGCATCGAGTTCTGGTCCTCGAGGCTCTTGCGCCGCCGGCGCGGTGCTTGCTCTGTGGATGAGGAGGAGGAGACGACAGCTGCATTAGGCAGCTGTGACTCCGCCGGCGGCTGCTTACCCAGAAAGTCCACTTTCATGCCGCCGGAATAGGCATCGAACGTGTAGGCCACGCTCCTCTCGATCTTCGGCATCTGCTCCTGGGTGTAGTTGTGCACCTTCTTGTAGTGGAACTGCAGGCACTGTTTGGTGGTGAACGCCGCATTGCACTCGGGCTCTGCACACCTAAAAAAAAGAGCCGATGTACGTTGACTGACGTGACTGACGACGGATGGATGGCTGGGACTTGTGGGACGGCTACTCACTTGAAGGGACGCACCCCGGAATGGGTGAGCATGTGAATCTTGAGATTGCTGCGATTCTGGAAGAGTTTCTGGCAGCGCGGACAGCTCACGACGGTGGAGTTGCGGCTGTGCACCTCCTTCGAGTGGCGCTGCAGTGCCGCACGCGATCCTAGAAGTTTTGAACATAATTTACACTGAAAATCTCGTAAAACTTCAGCCATATCTAAAATGAAATTGTATGAAGAAAATGAAATTTTCGGATTGTGGTGATTTTGAAAGAAGAAGAAACTTAGTGAATTATACACAAAAATCCATAACCAGAAACCAGAACCCAACAACGAACGAACCAACGAACACAAATCAAAATCTAAAACACATAAGACACGGATTGGGTCATAATGCTTGGGACTCAATTGCAAAACTATATTATACACACTAATATAAACTAATAATAATAAAAATAATACAAAATCAAGGCAAAATCATTCACTAAAAGCGTTAAAGGTTACACAATGCAGCTTATATTCGATTAGTCTTTTGGGTTAGTGGTCGATAGATGTTCCAACTGAAGGACTAAGAGGACTGTTCTCACTGTTCATGATCGTTTCTAGAGATACTTCAAAAGGGGAAGATATCAGAAGTAACCACAAATACTTGTCTCTCTGTGGATCATTTGTTGTATCTAGAAAATGTAGTTTGCTATATGGCTTGTCTTGAGATCATTTGAAGAGAAATAGAGACAGCTTTTAGATGTTAGAGTATTACAGGAAAGGCCACCTAGTACGCTAATCTTTTTCGTATAAATATCGTCAAAGGGTGTTCTGTCGACGAGTCTCGAGAGTCTCTACTTATCTAAGACCTTCAGTTCCATCAGTTGGAGTTCGGTAGTGTGCTTGGCATACGCTATAAGTACATTGATGATGGATCAACTATAGCAAACGGAACTAAAAGCACGAAAAGAAAACCAAATGAAGATACATTTACATATATTTCGAACAATTTAGGCGGTTTACAACTAAAACAAAAAATATAATACCAAATGAGGCAAATGAAGAGTGATGAGCGATCGCAGATGCTTTTGTGTGTGTGTTTGTGTGTCGCTTATACAGAGTACAGTTACAGTTACAGTTACAGTTTTACAGCTAAGCGACTGATTACGGTATTAGTACATACGATATTATTGTGTGTGATACGATACTATATGATATATAGTATATTTAGACTGATATATGTATGCAAAAGCAGTTATACGGTGAGATCGATGCGAGCTTACGCTATGGTAGTACATACGAGATACAATACAATTACGATATGCAATGTTAACGATATACGATATACGAGCTTACTTACAGAACACGGCTGCCACCTGTTCAACATATCGTGATCCCAAAACTAAAACATAAGTGCATATACCAGGAAACCATAAGAAAACATAAAACAACATTCAATTTCTATTCCGAGCACTTAAATATGAAATTATATATGTAGAACCAGTCGGCGGCACACGTGCCTCGACACCAAGACACTCGATAGTCGATATTCAGGCTGCAGCCGTGATTGCAAGAAACGAAATACCATATGATATACGATACATACTGGACACTAGACTTGCAGTTTTTTGTATTATTTTGGATTGCATTCTGTTAGGCTTAGGATACGATTATATGGTCTACATTACTGTCACACAGTTACGATCTATCACATTGGGCTTGGCTGGTGGTGGGGAGGGGATCGATTGACCGATAGATCGATGGATCGATCTGCCACGCCTACTTACCACTGTGCATGCGCTTGATGTGGGCCTTCAGCTTCTGCGGCTGACAGAACTTGCGGCCACAGAAATCGCAGACGGGTCGCGATCGATTCGGATTGGAGGCACAGCCGTAGGTGCGGTGCATCTCCAGGTAATTGAGGCGCAGAAAGAACTTGTTGCAGAACTGGCACTGGTAGGCGCCCTTGCCGTCGTGCTTCTCGGCGGCATGCTTCATTATATTGTCCTTGCCCAGCACCGCCTCGCCACATACCTTGCAGTGGTACTTCCGTATGGTGAGGCTCATCGATGGGTCGTGAAAGACGGAGCAGTGGGTGCGATAGTACAGGGGATGCTCGAACTTCAGACTGCAGCCGCCGCAGTCTGTGCCACCAAACGAAAACAAAATGTGCGATTAGGTACAGTCATCAGACCATCAGAGATGCCACATGGCCTCAAAAAGGATAAATACTCACTGATCTTTTCCGTGTGCTTCTTCCGCCACATGGTGTTGCAGTCGTCGCTCCAGTAGAGCAGCTCCATGCCGTTGCGCAGATCGCGGCAGCTGACGAAGTACGCCTGCTGATCGATGGACACCAGATTGACGTTCCGATCGTCGTAGCAGGGGGCGGGCCGTATGAAGCGGAGCCAGTTGGAGGCGTTAGGGTTGTCGCAGCAGAGGAGGTAGGACTTGTCCGCCCCGGCCTCGCACATCTCGAATATCCACTTCATGTCGCTGCCCTCACGCACCTCGCCCGTCTGCACCGGCTGGCCGATCAGCGGCCCCAGCTTGGTGAAGGCCCGGACCTCGGTGCGGGCAAAGACCCCGGTGACATTCGGCTCGACGTTGTGCAGCTCGAACTCCGCCGGAACGGAGGCCTCGGCGAACGTTATGAGCGGCTTGGTCTCCAGCTCGGACAGCTGCGACGACTCGTCCATGTCCATGTCCTCCATGTCGTCCTCGTCGTCATCGTGCCGCGGCCCACGACCCCGCTTCGCCTGCCGGTGGGCATCCGCCTTCAGCTTGGCCAGTGCCTCCAGATTCCGGCGCTCGATCCACTCGGCCAGGTCCACGGCGTCCGTGACATTGCCGCAGGCGTTGCGCAGCGGACACAGCTTGTGGTCGTGTGTGATGGAGCATTCGCGGCAGGACTGCTGCGACCGGAAGGCAATGTCGTGCTCGTCCTCCTCCTCCACGAAGTTCTGCTCCATCTTCATCTCGCGAGCCAGCGCCTCCTCGTCCAGCTCCTCGTCATCGTCGTCCTCCTCCTCGTTGACGGCAGTGCCTCCGGTTGCCGACTCGTCCTCGGGCTCGTCGTAGCTGGAATTGGGTGGCATCATGGCGGCGGCCGCCGCTGCTGCTGCTGCCGCTGCCGCCGCCGCTGCCTTGGCGGATTGGGATTTCTTGCCACCGCCACCGCCATGGCTCTTGGAGCGCACATGGAAGTTGCCCATCTGCCCGTTGGTGGGCGTGGTGCCGTCCACAGCATCCGCACCGGTCTTGGCCGTCACTTCCACACCCCCGGCCACACCCAGGGGTATGGCCATGCCGGCTCCCATCAGATGTGGATGCTGCTGATGCTGATGCTCCTCCTCGTCCTCCTCTTCGCTGTTCGCCGCTGCCGCTGCTGCTGCTGCTGCCGCGGCTGCTGCTGCCGCCGCTGCGGCCTTCTTCAGGCAGAGAGCGCTGGGCAGGGACTCCTTGCTGCCGGCACTGGCGCTGGCCTCCAGCTCGCTCTTGATCTTCTCGGCGATGCGGCAGTCCAGGACCTCGGGCAGGGCCGAAGAGTTGGCGGCAGCCGCAGCCGCCACCGCCGCCGCTGCTGCAGCTGCCCCGGCCTTGAGGGCAGCCGCCGCTGCCTTGGCCTCCTGCTTCTTGGATTTGGCATAGCCGCTGTGATACCCTGTCCCGCCGCCAGCTCCTCCTCCCGATCCCGATCCTGATCCTCCGCCAGCCGCTCCAGCGCCACCTTTGGCCGCCTTGCCGCCCGCGTATCCGTTCAGGGAATCCGTTGAGAACTGCACCCGCTTCTTGTAGCGCTTCCGTTGCGGCGGTGTGGGCGTGACCATCGCCACGGAGGTCGCCGAGGCTGAGTCGCCATTGCCGTTGCCGTTCCCGTTCCCAGTACCGTTCATCGACGAGGACTCTGGGGGCAGGGCAAAGTCCTTGACACTGAGATTCGGCTCCAGCTTGAAGTTTCCATCGAAGCCTTTGGTGGGCGTTGGGGCCGGCGAGGGCGGTGGTAGGCTATAAAGAGGGAGGGATTAGAGATTAGACAGAGATCTACAGTGGAAGGTACCCCAAAATCTAAACGTAAAGTCCACACCACAGAAAGATTGCATTTCAATCTATGCTTTGTGACAATCTTTCCGCTTTCAAAAGGCTCCCAGATGGAAGCTCTTGGGGGCTTTCCGGCCACTGCATCAGACATTTTGCTTCACTAGTTTCTTGGCAAATTCGA